CAGATATTACAACTGTTCAAAGAATGAGATTATATCGTCAGCGAAAAAGGAAAAAAAATACAAACAGTAAATGAATGTATGTTAATTTTAATTACATGAAGTTCTTCAAACACAATTGTTACATGATGAGTGAAGTTGCGAAAACAATATTTGTTTAGGCGTTGTTTAACATAATCCACTGTGTGAACGATTATTATAGAATTTATTAATCAGCAATTACTTTAAACCGATCATGTCATATTTGAAGTATGACTTTGATTACATTATTGTTTGTAAATATTATACATATTTTCAATGCAATCATAAATATATAATTTATAATTTATCATTATATAAATGTATATAATAATTGACGACACTATGAAATGTGTGCATCACGAGTGTTATCATATTACTAAGAAACATCATTCAAAATTATTTTATGATGTATTTATTTTTAACTTAAATGCCATCTCGTACGATAGCAAAATAGCTTTACTTCAATCGCGTGTGAACCTTACGCGCACTCTTTTTTTATAATTTTGTTCCACCATTTTTTAGGTCGTCAACGTCTTCAGAATCCCTAAAGGCTCCAGGCCTTGTTCCATTATCTACAGCACCTCATCAGTCGTCTGGTATTTCTACTTCCCAAAGAAGTTCCACAGGAAGTTGCCGGCAGAAAGAAAATGTTGACCCTATGCTTTTAGTCGGAGCAGGAAGCAGATACAGGTCTCTCAACAGGCGGAGGGGTTCTGCACCTGCTCCAACACTGCCATCAGCTGATGAGAGTTTAAATTTGACGACTGTGCAGAAACATGGAGAAATTTTGAGATCTGTTCATAGGAGGGGATCGGTTCCGGCTGCGATTATTAAATTAGTAAGTAACTAGTGCTGCATGGGCTTAAGACAAATTGCTGGAACTTCCCGTACCGTAATGAAATATTCGAGAAATTTTAAACGTTTTCAAATATATTATTACAAATACTGTAACTTTCATTATTTTTGCATTAACTTGTTATATCCGAGCAAATCAAATGTAAATCATAAATCAATTTATCTCCATAACATTAACAATCGTCTTTTCGATTTCGAATTCAATTTCAAAATAAAATTGTTGCCTAATTTACACAAAATTGAATTGAAATGCTCCCGTATAGTCACAGTCTAAACGCATTTGCAAATAATTCTGTTCGACATTTTCACTTATACTGTGCTTAGCTTGGCGGCATTTTCACATTTTTCAATAGTTTTCACAAAATTGGAAACGGGCTTCCGTATAGTCACAGTCTAAACGCATTTGCAAATAATTCTGTGCGACATTTCACTTATACTGTGCTTAGCTTGGCTCCCGTACAGAAACAGTCTAAACGCACTTGGGTAAACATTTGTACCAGAGTGGCGCTTAGACTGTGCTTAGCCTGAGTAATTTTTTGAATTTTCAATCCAAAATTACAAAAATATTTTATGGAAAATAAAAAAAGATGTGATAATTTTTTATCCTCAAAAACAATTGTTTTGTCAATAAAAGCAGAAAGTTTTTTAGATCATTCAAATCGGACGCTTAGTTCACTCAAAAAATGCCATTTTTTGCACATTCAGCTCTGTATCTTCAAAACGGCGGGACCTGCCTCTGCCAAAAACTAATCACCTCTTCTCCTAACCATTACAAATTGAATGTATTTTGAATCATTCAAATCGGATGCTCCGTTCTCTCAAAAACTCGATTTGTATTTTCTGCACTCTTTGCTCCGTATCTCCGTAACGGCAGGACCTGCCTTTGCCAAGAACTAATCAGCACATCTCTCTATCAATAGGGATCGATTTTTTTTATATCATTCAAATCGGTGGTTCTGTACGCCCGAAATCGTCGACGAAAAATTGTATCCACACACAGACTTGCATTTTTCCTAATCGTAAGGTATGCCAAAATGTTCAGAAACTTCTGAAACGTCAATAAATGCACAAATTTCTATTTCGATTTTTAGTCCAGTCATTTGGTCGTTTCACCGGTACAGTACTCCGGAAATTCTAAAAATTAGTTATCTATAGATTTCCTCAAATTTTTACAGCAAGTCGCTGCCATATTGAAAAATGGCGTCAAAAACAGTTTTTTTTTTAAATATAACCTTTCCGGCTCATTCTACGAT